CTATCATACTCGATATAGCTAGCTAACTCAATAAAAGTGGTACGGATAGCTAGCTATCACAAGCCGATATTGCCCGATAACATATTTTTATAGCTAGATAATCTCAAAGGCATTTTTTTGCTTGGGAGACGTTTTGAAAACGAATGTATCTAGACTAGATCGATCATGTCCTTTTATTAGAATTATATGAGAGTAAACATAAATTTCTTCAAATCATTCTCGGCTTTTCATTGAATTAATCTACGTTAAAATAATTGGGACTAGTCTAGTATAAAGCAGCTGGTGTTATTAAAACGACATCAAATATTTTGAATTAAGCAAAACGAATAGACAAATCGTAAATCACCTGACTACGCTTATTACTTAGTCTTTACATTTCATATATTGCACGGCTCGTTCTACGACATAATATATATTCTATTTAATTACTTTAATTTAGTTTCTTTTTTAGCCCAAAAATATGTCGTCCGCAGCACATGTCAAAATATCTGAAATGAATTCTCGAATGGAACAAGATGCCCTTGAAGCTGCTCGTGAAGCATTAAGTCGTGCCACAAGTGAGCGTGAAGTTGCACAACATATTAAACAACATTTTGATCAAAAATATCGTCCAAATAACTGGAGTTGCATTGTTGGAAGAAATTTTGGATCGTACGTTAGTTATGCGCAGGATCACTTCATCAACTTCAGTGTTGGACCCACAGATATTCTACTCTTTCGAAATAGTTAAGTATCCATTTTTACAAGAAAACCATTCAATTCCACGCATTTTTTCGAATAGCTTAGTGTTTTCAATAGTATTTATTATATCAATGATTTAGTGTGTTACAGTTGAATAAAACTAAATAAACTGATTCCTGATTTTTTATGTTTAACGCTAAAATTCAGTACTGTCAGAGTTGCACCAATTTCTTAATTTACATTTTGTCACGAGAATCCTGCGTAGACTGTCAGCAGAAGAAATTCTACATGTCTAAGAAATGTTTAGTCCAGAGTTTCAGTCCACTACACGAGAATTCTACACGACTTGGTGGAGTTTTAGATAGTGAAGGTGATTTTCGTGCAAATTCGTAAAATCTCAGAAGAAAGCTATATATCTCGTGGAAAATCTGGTGTGCACGTTGTGAGTCCCTGCAAGAGAAGCAAGCATTCTAATTAAATCAATTTGGTAATAAAATCTATATGCTTAAGAGCCATTTTATCAGAGATACAGCCGTTTGTTACATAAGTTGCTCACTCGTTAGCAACTTCTGTAACAAAAGACATTTGGTTTTACTTTTTTGAATGAATAATTTTTAGTGACAACAACTATAATATTTTATTATCGCTGATTGCGCGATAATAAAAAATAATAATACAATTGTACGCATTTCTATTCATCCGTTCTAGTGAAGCGTTCAGTCTGGAAGAAAAAATACTATCTTAAGTATGACCTAATACAAAGTGACTCTCTTCAACGAAAAACTGATATTTCTATCAAAAATAACTTAGAAAATTTTTTTTTTGAAAATGTCGTGTTGATTGAACGAATTTTTGATAAAAAATAGTCGTTCACATAATAAAATTAATATCGGATTCTTGTGGAGCATCAAAAATTATCTATATATCAATAAAATTTGACAAAGAATAACGAATAGGTAGCATAGTATATGACGATGGTAAAGTCTATTACTAATACAGCAAATGTTTTTCCCAATTATAAAAGCCTGCTAGGAAATGAAACTTAATGGACTGTGTAGTACTATGCTGATAATCTTTGGAAAATAATATATTTTAAAACAAATCTGACAAAGGATTTTGGAGCAGGGTCATGCCCATGTTGGACTATTTCGACAGTAATATATGATAGTGATGTATAACTAAACAACTGTTAATGTTGAGAAGCTCGTTCTTTTACCATTTGATTCTTCGAGATGTAAGCTACATTCTGACCATAAAATGTTAGCATTTCTTGAAATCTTGATTCATTCATAGCGGTCACAAACAGGCCTATTTGACCATTTTACCTCTACCGCTCTGTGCTGTCCTTCATCTAGCCTTTCATGCTAGAAACTCAAAAATTTTCCTATCGACAACTTCCGAAGCCCTATCGAAAGACCTTATCAGAAAAATTTTAAAATGTTTAGAGAACATGGACGGTGAGCATTGTGGGTCCCACCTATGTAATTCATGGTATTTTTGCAAGCACTGGTTCACCACCAACGGACTAACTTTTTCCAATCACAAATATTGATTTATATGTAACTTGACATACTCTGTCTGATGAGCGTAGTGAGATTCGCCCGGCTGAAGCTTTTGTATAAATGGGTGGACCTGCCTGGAAATACATAACTTTTATTAAATTGGGTGTCCTGTCTCAGAAAAATAAAACTCAGAAGTGGTTTTGAAATGAAATATGGCTCTTATCAAAAAGTTGTTTTTCTCGTTCGATATCTTTTAAAAGCGGGACGCTTCTGTGTCGTTAGAACGACATACTCTGAAAACAGATTTATTTCACGTTTATGGAAACCGTTGTTTCCTAATAATATCCACTGGTGATATCCGCCCTTGTTTCCTACTAATAATGACCTCAAGAGAGTTCAATGGAATACAAAAGCATCACCATGACCAAGAGCATCGCCTGGTGTTTTTTTAGGAGGAAAACGTACAAATACTAGTTGTGCAGCTCATAAACAAGATGTCGGTATGAATATTGGTGTGGAAAAATTTGATCTTCTGGTGAATGTCGGTGTGTCAACAACAAAATATCCTTTACGTTCGCAGTATGTTAAGGCTACGATCTGTGGATTTAGCCATCGTTACTGACAGTGGTATGGAAAAAGAAGCAACCACCGCCATCGCCACCAAACGAGTGTTCAGCCAATTGGACTTATACTGGTAATGCTTATCAACGTTTTAATCGACAGATAAGCGGCACAACAATAAGACGCAGTATTAGATACAGAAGAAAAAAATAACAAGTAACGTTCATCTTAGGTTCACTGAGCCTTAACTGGAAGGTCCTGATCCAAACAAAGTGAACATAGAGGATACGCAAAATTCAGTACTTGAGCAAAATTGTTTTTCGTTTTCTTGGGTATGGTTGGATAGAGCTCATCGAATTATCTAATAAAGGCTGATTTTTATATGTTTAGAATTGATTTTCGTGTGAAAAAGTATTAATTTTTTGAAAATAGGCTAAAATGAGCGAATTTTTTTTCTATTTTGAAAATTGTCAAACTACTTTTCTCTGATTCTCCATCTAGAAGTATAAAAGGCTAACTGTAGCGTCTCTAGAAACAAATATACTCTCCAAATTTGCCGAAAACGAGCCAGTCAAGAAACCTACGGATTTGGAATAAGAGTTGAAACCTATCAATGCAGCCAGCATCACTCAAAACGCCTACGGCACCAATTTGTGTATTTTTTTCTTCCTTCGGCACCGCAGAAGGACTTAGCCCGATACAACCTTGAAGAACAAACAATAAACAAGCCTGTATCCGGGCAACCCAGAACAAAGCCCATTGAGAAAAGAACTGCTAATAAAAACACTTTACCAGCACGGTGATGACACAACCTGCTCTAATACGCAATCGTCTTCTTTTTGTTTTCTTTCATACATAGTCATTGTACACACACGCCTATTATTCAGTTTTCTTTTCTTACGTCGTTAGTACATCCCATGAGGCTATGTTCGATACATTTATCGCGATAAGTGCTTGTTTTATCGAGGCCGTCACGGAGCTTTTTGCAGTTCCGGCGATAATTACTTTATTTCGATAAAGTAGCTCATTACCACGATAAACATTGTTTATCGATAGATTGCAATAATAACATTATGGCAATAAAAAAGGTTACTTCGCCCGATAAATTATTTATCATCGTAACTGCAAAAGCTCCGTGACGGCCTTAATACAACAAGTACCTATCGCAATAAATGTGCGTGAGCACTCTCTTGCTTCAATATATAAACTAAAAACATTTTTATGTTTAAAGAATAAAATAAGAAAAGAACAAATTTTATATTTTCATCAAATGTTTATCTTTTACATATTCAACGAAGAAGGTGCTCACTCAAAACGTATTTCGTATTGTACCAACGTCGCGAATTCAAATACATTAATTGGAGAGGTTCTTTACTTAGAAAATGATGAGAATAATTATAAATTTAATTTTTTATCGTTTTCCTACTTTATTTGAATCTAGTCAACGTGTTTTCTGTCTGCATTTTAATACTTTTTAAAAGTATCACGTTAATTTGCGCTCATATAGCGATAGATTTTAGATTGCGTTAAAACACTGTAAAAAAAACCAGTGCGCCTTATTGCCGTATTCATCTGTATCGTGATAAACAGCAGGATATCGTGATACATCTTGATAAAAAGGCATTACGACTTATCTAACTACTTCTTCTATTAGGATATTTCTACAATTTAATGCAGTACGAAACGATATCGCGATGTTGATCGATAAATACTTATCGCGGCCGAACGAAACATTGTTTTGCATAAATGTGATAAACTATAAAGATAATGCGATAATAACTTACATCACGAGCTATCAGAACCGTCTGATAGATGGCGACTTAGAATTTATCGCGACAAACGATCAAGACATCGCGATATGGACCATTACCAACACATTTATTGGCAATATATCGGCGATTATTCGGTTTAAAAATCCTCAACGAATAGGTACTATGGACTTTAGCTATTTTTCTTTTTTTCGTACAGATCTTCGGAGATTTCATCATCTTCTATCGCATATATGTAAGCGTGCATAGTATAGTTCAGAGTTAATTTTTCGTCCTCGTTTCACACCGTATATCGTCGTCTTATCATCGTCCATTTTCTGTCATCATTTTTTCTATTCAATTTTTAAAATATACATTAAAAAGTTTCCAAGAAATTTCATCGGATTTTCAAGAGTCAGAAGGTCTACCGTTCACACTTATATTGACATTAGTAATTTATATCGCATTGAGTTAAAACGTTCCTCAAGAAATTATTTTTTCCAGGAAACTTCTGGAACTTTAAAATTTTCTATCTGATAAAAAAAAACATCATTCGAGGCAATTTTTCATGTAGCTTACTACTATCTGTTCCAAAATAGAAGGTCTGTGATTATTCTTTGAATAACTCAAAAGGAATAAACGATAGAGACTTGTGTTTTTCATCATTCGCTAGCCAGGACGAGAGCTGTAGTCGTTCATGTTGGTTTGGCAAAAAGTTCAACGGGAAAGGCGACGGTTTTGTCCTTGACGTTCTGAACTGTCAACGTAAAATATTATAGAGTTAGATGTTGTTATATTGGAGTTTAGTATAAGTACTCTCTAAAAAGAAAAGGGTACAGACAGAACCCTTTAAGGGTTCTTTCCTTGGGTCTCACACCGATCCCCTAAAAAGGTTTCTTCCAAAAAAAAATTCAGTATGGAACCATTTATTCTTTTTCGAAAAAAGGGTTCGGGATTAATTTTTTTAAGAAAAGACTTCGAAAAAGGTATTGCGTAATATGTTTGTGTTAAATATATTAAAAATCTCCAATACTTCTTCGAAAATATTACTTTTCTCGAACACATATACTACAAATGAAACGTTGAAACACAAAACATCAGAAAAACTTTAAATAAATATAAATGCTCAACGCACAAGGTCTGATGTATGCTTTTTCTGGTTGTTATCGACGGAACTGTTGCTGTTGTGTGTTAATGAGCTAATAGTGCTGACGTGCTGTTTAACGAAAGAGAAGTCA